AGGGCCACATTACACAGAGCAGGGAGGGCTGTTGGAGGGCCGTATTAAACCGACCCCCGGGCCGTAAATGGCCCGCGGGCCAGACTTTGGACATGCCTGATTTACATGAATCATGATGGTATAACAGGTGGTGATACTGTTAGATGAGCATAGCAATAAACATGAAAATACTCATGGCAATACTTATAGTGATAATAATAATAATAATGTCAAAAATCTCATACAGAAAAGTTGTATATATAGAAAACGTACAAAAAAAAAAAAAAAGGAAAAACTTTTTTTATATATAGAGAGAATCCATAGAATAAACATATATACATATATATGTAAATGCAAAAGCACAATTGCTATTTAAAATTTAAAAACAGGATGAGTTCATTTATTATGTGTAGTATAGAATAGTGTATGTTATTATAACAGATACCTGGGTTGAGCAGATGGAGACTTCAGTATGGCAGAGTTCCCATGGCAAGGAGACCTCCAGCCACTGGGTGTCAGTATTACAGCAGTTCAGCCTGTTTAGTGTGGCTGGCAATTAACCCTTTGAGGACCGTAAGATTTTTGGAACACCAAAAGAATCAATTTTTTTGTTTTTAAAGTTTGTACACTTCAGTTGCTGTAACTAAGCCATTTCATGAAATAATTGGCAAAAAGCAAGATCCATTTGTTGTTTGTTGATAAGAACTAAAATTTTGACTCAAACCAAAAAAAAAAAAGAGTTTTAAGCTCTTAATCAGATGATACAGGCAATTAAAAACATGGGACAAATACGTCCCTTGGTACTCAAAGGGTTAAAGTAATGGAATAAGTACTGTAGGCCGCCTGCAGGTGGCAGTGGAACGCACGCCGGCTAATATGCACTACTGCGCATGTGCTGTGCGTTCCAGGGGCCATATTAAAGAGGATCATGAAGCAGGAAGTCTCTGACACAACATCCCATACAGCAGAGAGAGATCAAAGGGCTGAAAAATGACCAAGAACCCGCTGGACCTTAGGAGATTTATATTTAGTTAATAAAGGACCATAAACAGTACAGAAATAAATACTTGGTGCCCACAGTTCACAAATCTGCCCTATGTATAGGAACAGCGCCATCTAGTGACAGCTTTATAATTGCAGGCTAAATTATTAAAAGGCAGAGGGAGTTGTTATCTTCTGCTAATGCAGGCCGTAGATGGGTCGAAAATCGGCCGAATTTTCTTTTAAAAAATGAAAAATCGGTTGTTCAAGCGGCCAACGTTACCATCAATGGTAAAAAAAAATCGGCCGATTTTCATCCCGTCTACAGCCGGCAAAAGTGTCCTTGCAGAGAGCTCCGCTATTTCTGACAGTTCTCTGACAGTTCCTTGACATTTACAGTGGTTGCAACATTGTATCTATTTGTTTCCATTTAGGATACAGATGTTTTTATTCGGAAACAAATACAATGTTGCAACCTCTGTAAATGTCAAAGAACTGTCAAAGAAATAGCGGAGCTCTCTGCAGAGACACTTTTTGCCGGACTGGAATTCCTTTTATTTTTCATCCTTCTTCTCCTTCTTCATCATCATCCTCTTCTTCTTCTTCATCATCATCCTCTTCTTCTTCTTCTACTTCATCATCATCCTCTTCTTCTTCTACTTCTTCATCATCATCATCCTCTTCTTCTTCTACTTCTTCTTCATCATCATCCTCTTCTTCTTTTTCTTCATCATCATCATCATCATCCTCTTCTTCTTCTTCTACTTCATCATCATCCTCTTCTTCTTTTTCTTCATCATCATCATCCTCTTCTTTTTCTTCATCATCATCATCCTCTTCTTCTTCTTCATCATCATCCTCTCCTTCATCTTCTTCTACTTCTTCATCATCATCATCCTCTTCTTTTTCTTCATCATACTCATCCTCTTCTTCATCATCATCCTCTTCTTCTTCTACTTCTTCATCATCATCCTCTTCTTCATCTTCTTCTACTTCATCATCATCCTCTTCTTCTGCTTCTACTTCTTCATCATCATCATCCTCTTCTTCTTCTTCCACTTCTTCTTCTTCATCCTTCTACTTCTTCTTCTTTTTCTTTATCATCATCATCCTCTTCTTCTTCTTTTTCGTCATCATCATCCTCTTCTTCTTCTTTTACTTCTTTCATCATCATCCTCTTCTTCATCTTCTTCTACTTCTTCTGCTTCTACTTCTTCATCATCATCACCCTCTTCTTCTTCTTCTACTACTTCTTCTTCTTCATCCTCCTCCTCCTCTTCTTTTTCTTCATCATCATCATCCTCTTCTTCTTCTTCTTCGTCATCATCATCCTCTTCTTCTTCTTCTTCTTTGTCATCATCATCCTCTTCTACTTCTTCATCATCATCATCCTCTTCTTCTTCATCATCATCATCTTCATCCTCTTCTTCTTTTCCTCTTCCTCTTGCAGGTCACTGCTCATGCGCAGATTTTTTATCGGCAAAAAATCGCCCGATTAGCCCATTATTGCCGCGAAAATCGGCCGATCGGCAAAATCGATCGATTTTAAAAAAAACGGCCAAAATACCGAAAAACAGCCGAACAAATAGCCCCACTAACGATCCGAAATCGGCCGATTTTATTTTCGGCCGAAAAATCGGCCGATTTTCGACCATCTATGGCCTGCATTAGTGTCAATTGATGATAAGGAATAAATTCAAATCAGTGAAGATCAGGGAATCATTTCTGATTACGGTGTAGATAAATACTTTTTGAATAGTTTTTAGGGAATTGCTACCCGCACATTCCTAACGATCGGCATATTCTCAAGAGCAATAATAGGATAATTTGTAATATATGATGAAAAATATATATACTAAACACTAAAGGGAAAATACCTGCATCTTTAAAACACACAAGATATACCACCCATTGTATAGTATAAGAAGATAAATGTGAGAATAAATATATATATATATAAAAAAAAAAAGATTTTGTATGCAAAGGAAATGGGGGAGGATAACTTTGCACAGATCAAGAGGCAGCACGTACTTAGAGCAGACATTGGAACTATGTGTATATATTTTAAAATTTGTTAATAAGAATTATTAAAAATTATTTAAAAAAATATTAAAAAATCCCTTATGCAAATTATTAAAAAAATTCTTATTAATAGTAAAATTAATACAATAATAAAATCGACCTAATTAATGTGGACATAATCACTCAAGGTCAAAACAGGGGAAGAGTCAAGGAGGAAGAGTGTGTGTTTGTACATACACACATACACCCACACATAAAAAACACATAGGTGTTTCAATAAACACAAAAAACATCTGGAACTCCACTTTAAAGTGTTACTGAACCCCAACAGTACAATCAGTCTGTAGATGCAGTAAAGCATGCTTGTTATACTCACTGTGGAACCTAAGGGGTTAATCCTCTGCATTTTATAAAAAGGCTGTTTGATGCTGTCTTCCCTGATCCTCCCCTTCTTTCAGTGTCCCCCTCTTATCTCCTGATAAGTCATATCGTGTGGAGTCACTCTGCACATGCTCAGTATTACTAGAGATTTCAGCACTGTCCAGATGAAAGTCAGGGGTCCTGCATCCTCCTAGAGCGGGAAAAGAAAACTCCTCCTACAAGCTTTAACCAGTGCTCTGCTGGCCGGGGAGAGAGGATATAGTGAATGCGGGGTCCAGGGAGAGTGAATATAGTGAATGCAGGGTCCGGGGAGAGCGGATATAGTGAATGTGGGGTCCAGGGAGAGCAGATATAGTGAATGCGGGGTCCGGGGAGACCGGATATAGTGAATGCAGGGTCCGAGGCAGGGCGGACTGACCATTTGAAACTCGGGCACTGCCCGAGGGCCCGGGGTCAGTAGGGGGCCTCATGAGATGCCCCTGGTACCTTTTTCATAGGCTGTTTTGAGTTTGGGCAAGGTCACAGGAGCCCCATGATCCCCTATTGCCTGGGGGCCCCATGAGTTGTCAGTCCGCCCCTGGTCCGGGGAGAGTGGATATAGTTATTGCAGGGTCCAGGGGTGAGCGGATATAGTGAATGCGGGGTCCGGGGGAGAGCGGATATAGTGAATGCAGGGGCTGGGGAGAGCGGATATAGTGAATGCGGGGTCCGGGGAGAGCGGATATAGTGAATGCGGGGTCCGGGGGGAGAGCGGATATAGTGAATGCAGGGTCCAGGGAGAGTGGATATAGTGAATGCAGGGTCCAGGGAGAGCGGATATAGTGAATGCGGGGTCTGGGGAGAGCGGATATAGTGAATGCGGGGTCCAGGAGAGAGCGGATATAGTGAATGTGGGGTCTGGGGTGAGAGCGGATATAGTGAATGCGGGGTCCGGGGAGAGCGGATATAGTGAATGCGGGGTCCAGGGAGAGCGGATATAGTGAATGCAGGGGTCCAGGGAGAGCAGATATAGTGAATGCGGGGTCCGGGGAGAGCGGATATAGTGAATGCGGGGTCCGGGGAGAGCGGATATGTGAATGCGGGGACGGGGAGAGAGCGAATATAGTGAATGCGGGGTCCGGTGAGAGCGGATATAATGAATGCGGGGTCCAGGGAGAGCGGATATAGTGAATGCTGGGGAGAGCGGGAATGCAGGGTCCGGGGAGACCAGATATAGTGTGAATGCAGGGGCTGGGGGAGAGCGGATATAGTGAATGCGGGGTTTGGGGAGAGCGGATATAGTGAATACGGGGTTTGGGGAGACCAGATAGAGGATATAGTGAGATGCGGGGTCCGGGGAGAGAGATATAGTGAATGCGGGGTCCGGGGAGAGCGGATATAGTGAATGCGGGGTCCGGGGAGAGCGGATATAGTGAATGCGGGGTCCGGGGGAGACCGGCTATAGTGAATGCGGGGTCCGGGGAGAGCGGATATAGTGAATGCAGGGTCCAGGGAGAGCAGATATAGTGAATGCGGGGTCCGGGGAGAGCGGATATAGTGAATGCGGGGTCCGGGGGAGAGCGGATATAGTGAATGCGGGGTCCGGGGAGAGCAGGATATAGTGAATGCGGGGTTGGGGAGAGCGGATATAGTGAATGCGGGGTCCGGGGAGAGCGGATATAGTGAATGCGGGGTCCGGGGAGAACGGATATAGTGAATGCAGGGTCCGGGGAGAGCGGATATAGTGAATGCGGGGTCCGGGGAGAGCGGATATAGTGAAATGCGGGGTCTGGGGTTTAGTAACACGTTAAGGCTTTAGAAATATTTCTCTCGCTTGTTCTTGGCAATATCTTACACATGTGGCGCAATTTGTATTTTTATACTCATGCCTGCCCTATTCTATATGTATGTACAAAGGTTACAAATGTCCTTATTTATTTAAAATTGTAACACTTTTTTTCGTAATCTAACTTTAGTGCTTTCACTAGAGGGCTAATAAGACTAATATATGATAGTATAGTATGGGCAGGTGACAGGTCCTCTATTAGACTTCCAATGTCTCCACTGCAGCTAATCGTTCTTGTACAGTAGTTTGGGAATGACAACTTTGTATTACGTCACTTCCGGGATCATGAGTCCTCCTACTCTTAACTACTTGCCAACCGCAGATAGCTGAATGACAGCTACACTGCGGCCGGCCAGTTCTGGGAGGTCGTCATATGACATCCTCCCAGAACGCGCTCTCCTGCGCGCCCCCGGGGGCGCTCACGGGCGACCTCCGTGATTGCTGTGTCCTACTAACACAGCTGATCACGTGATGTGGTAAAAGGCCAATCACAGCGGCCTTTTACCACGTGATCAGCCGTGTCCAATGACACGCTGATCACCGGGAAATGCAATTGCCGGTTCTCGGCTGCACTTTCCCCTCGGTGTCAGAGCGTGAGGAAAGTGCTGCCGAGAACCGGCAGTTGTCAGAGCGGGGATCAGCACCGATCATCAGTGATCAGTGCCCTGATGATCGGTGCCCAGCAGTGCCACCCACCAGTTCCGCCCACCTGTGCCCCAGTGCAGTGCCCACCACCAGTGCCACCACCAGTGCCCATCAGTGCAGCCCAGCATTGCTGCCAGTCAGTGCCCCCTGTCAGTGCCCAGCGGTCGTGCCAGTCAGTGTCCAGCAGTTGCACCAGTCAGTGCCCAGCAGTGATGCCAGTCAGTGCCACCTATCAGTGCTGTCTATCAGTACCCATCATCAGTGCCGCCTATCAGTGCCACCTATCATTAACGCCTATCAGTGCCTCCTATCCGTGACACCTCATTAGTGCTGCCTATCAGTGCCGCCTATCCATGCCATCTCATTAGTGCTGCCTATCAGTGCCCTTCAGTGCTGCCTATCAGTGCCATCAGTGCTGCCTATCAGTGCCAATCAGTGCTGCCTATCAGTGCCAATCAGTGCTGCCTCATCAACGCACATCAGTGAAGGAGAAAAATTACATGTTTGCTAAATTTTATAATAGAAACAAAGAAACTTTTTTTTTTTTTAATTTTTTTGTTTATAGCGCAAAAAGTAAAGTGCCCAGCAGCGATTAAATACCACCAAAAGAAAGCTCTATTTGTGAGGAAAAAAATGCTAAAAATTTCATATGTGTACAATCTTGCATGACCGCGCAATTGTCAATCAAAGTGCGACAGCGCTGAAAGCTGAAAATTGGCCTGGTAAAGAAGGGGGTATAAGTGCCCGGTAGGTAAGTGGTTAATGTTCTAAATATCCAGACCAACCTCCACCCCAGTGCCAACTGTGAGCTTGCTTTAACTCTTTGAATACAGGACATTTATGAATGTATCTTAGTAGACAAGAGGTTATGCTCCAAGCACATTCAGTAGGTTTGCCTGAGAACATGTCCTCTCCTCTGCCTTGTTTGACACCAGCCCCCTCTCCATCCAGTGTCAGTGTGTAGTGGGGTGTAGAAGGATATTCTAGACTGCCATTCTGTAGTACTAGAAGAAGAGGGGAGGTTTCTGGAAATGTCAAATATGTCAGCTGTGCTCAAGGCCGGTGCTTCCACTAGGCAAACTAGGCAGCTGCCTAGGGTGCACTGCCACCTAGGGGCACAGGCTGGCACTCTCTCTGTGTGGGACGCCACCACATCATGAATTATCCTTTAGCTGAGGGGAGGGGTGGCAAAAGGGGAGAAAGAAAGGACAAAGGAAGATGCCGGGTGTCTGGGGCCATTGTAGCAGCTGAGCTCCTTACAGTGTTCCTCTCAGACTCAGTCCCTTAATACAAGCCAGTTGGAGGCAGAGCTGTGCCTGTGGAGAAAAGTAATGTCTGACTCTGATGTCTCGTGTCTGTGTGAGTGTGACCCGGCCGGCCGTCCATCACATGTGCAATGTGTCAGTGAGTGATGACATCATCACGATCCCACAGCCTGCTCTTCTAGTGCCTGCTGATCTGTGTCAGTGTTGGTGGTGGTGTGTTGTGTCAGATCTGTCACTGTGTGGGATCAGTCAGTTCAGGTGCCTGCTGTCACAGTGTTTTACCTCCCCCCATTGCCTGGGGAATTCCAGCCTGGGATCTGTCAGAGTGTGGATCCATCATCCTCTGCTCACCGCAACTGTCACCTTGCCACTGCCAGCCACAGATACAGTCCGTAGCAGTTTCGTGTTTTGTTGATATTTTCTACTGTTTTTAAATTATTTTTTTTTTTGGGGGGGGGGGGGCGCAATTAGCTGGTCTTGCTTAGGGTGAAAAGTAGTCTAGCACCGGCCCTGGCTGTGCTATATCATTAGCTGCCCAGCTTTACATTCTGGACAGTTGAATGAAGAAACAGAATTCCAGTTTGCAATATACACATTTTACCGCTTACACACTCTCTTGGATGTAATAACTTGTATGGAACCTGTCCTAGATGTCTGACTCAGAGGGGTGCCTATCATTATTGTTTTATCTGGGGGTGTCCGCTTTCTCAAGTTATAACACAGAAATTAGTATCAGTGGGTACAAAAAAAAAGTTGTCAATATTTGAAAATTATTAAGAGGGACACCTTAAAGGGATCAAGAAGAAAATTGCAAGAGAGAAATCGTAGTGTGCCCAAAATTGGACAAGGCAAAGCTCAGCTATGTTTTAGACAGAAGACATAATAACCCCCAGCATTGGTGTCAGTACATACAATGATTAACCCCTAGAACTGGTGCCAATAGACACAAATAAAAACTTTGTACCAGTGTCAGTGGAGACAACAGTAACCTCCAGCATTGATATGCATGGGCACAGTAATAACTGCCAGCATTGCTGTCCTTGGACACTGTAACAACCCTCAGCATTAGTGTCATTAGACACAATGACACTAAAGCACTGTTGTCAGTGGACAGAATGACAAGAACCAGCACTGGTGTCAGGGAAACAGTAGTAACCATCCTCACTGGTGTCAGGGGAAACAGTAGTAACCATCCTCACTGGTGTCAGTGGACACAGTAATAACCCCCAGTAGGTGTGTCAGCAGATGCAATTAATAACCCTTAGCATTGGTATCATGAGATGCATTATAAACCCCCAGCATTGGTGTCTGCAGATGCAACAATAACCCCCCCAATGGTGTCAGCTGATGCAATAATAACCCCCAGCATTGCTGTCAGCGGATGCAACAATAACCCCCCCAATGGTGTCAGCTGATGCAATAATAACCCCAGCATTGCTGTCAGCGGATGCAACAATAACGGCCCCCCCCCAATGGTGTCAGCTGATGCAACAATAACCCCCAGTATTGCTGTCAGCGGATGCAACAATAACACCCCAATGGTGTCAGCTGATGCAATAATAACCCCCAGCATTGCTGTCAGCGGATGCAACAATAACCCCCCCAATGGTGTCAGCTGATGCAATAATAACCCCCAGCATTGCTGTCAGCGGATGCAACAATAACCCCCCCAATGGTGTCAGCTGATGCAACAATAACCCCCAGTATTGCTGTCAGCGGATGCAACAATAACACCCCAATGGTGTCAGCTGATGCAATAATAACCCCCAGCATTGCTGTCAACTAATGCAATAAAACCACCCAGCGTTGGTGTCAGCAAATATAATAATACCCCCAAACATTGGTGTCAGAGGGTGCAACAATAACCCCCAGAGTTGGTGTCAGCGGATGTAATAATAACCCCCAACCACTCAGGCACTGGCAGCTGAAGGTGAATTTCAAAGGGCACACTGAAAGGAATAAAGCTTCATGGACATAAAATAAAAGAGGATGATATGATTGGCAGGATAACCATGACACCATGGTTGGAGGCGGGGTCCTCATCTCTCTGAAAACAATGCTGTGGATTTTTAATTTCAATCAACTGAAATATTTTTGTTGGGGAATTGCTTCTGCTGACAGTACAGATAAGGCATTTTTCTGCCACTAACCAAAGGGATTTTCCCTCTCAATGACCAAAAAGTTAAATGGCACTATATTACCTTCTTGTCAGAAGATGGACCGCACAAGAACTGACATAGTTGCCAACACTTGACATGGTCACGCTAATGTGCATGTACAGTAAATGCACACAGATGTGGTGTACGTGTGTCTATGCACACAATCGCGTACGCCTGTGTGCCATAGAGCACGTAAAGCGTGAATAGATGCTAGTGCCCAGTGACCTATTTGAAGACTAGTTTGGCCTACAAATTGCTGGATGAGCATCAGCTCTCTGTGTCCCAGGCTTCTTTGTTGCTGTATTTTTTGGATTTCCCGTTGCTGATCCAGCTTGCCCTTGAACCTACACTATATTGCCATATTATCTGATTCAGGTGTTCCAATCCCCTCCATGGACACAGGTGTATACAATCAAGCCCCTAGGCATGCAGACTGCTTCTACAAACATTGGTGAAAGAATGGGTCGCTCTCAGGAGCTCAGTGACTCCAAGCGTGGTCCCGTGATAGGTGACCACCTGGGCAATAAGTCCATCCGTGACATTTCCTGGCTACTAAATATTCCACGCTCAACTGTTAGTGGGATTATAACAAAGTGGAAGCCACTGGGAACAACAGCAACTCAGCCACCAAGTGGTAGGCCACGTCACATGACAGGGCGGGGTCAGCACATGCTGAAGCGCACAGTGCGCAGAAGTCACCAACTGTCTGCAGAGTCAATAGCTAAAGATCTCCAAACTTGGTGTGGCCTTCAGATGAGCCCAACAACAGTGCGTAGAGAGCTTCATGGAATGGGTTTCCATGGCCGAGCAGCTGCATCCAAGCCTTCCATCACCAAGTGCAATGCAAAGTGGTGTAAAGCACGCCGCCACTGGACTCTA